TGGTAGATAATTTAAGAGCTGTCTCAAAGAAAAGTGAATGAAATATAGACCATACCCTCAAGTACTGATGCCAAACCATATTACCCTGTTACTGTGATCTGTCTCTGTGCATTTCACTTTGCCAAGCCAGCTGAACCATCAAACAAATCCTGAGAATATAAATTTAGGCTAGAATTTCTGTTACTTTCCTCAACTTAATGCACAAGTCAAGGTTTGAGATCTGTGAAGACCAGTGTGTAACTGGAATTAGTCTACAACTGCATTTGTCATTTGAAATGTCCAGCAGTACAAAATACTAAGTTTCAAACCTGAAATGAACACATTACAGAAACAGATAAAGTAGGTAAACTTTTATTTTTATTTTATTGGATCAGGTAACTGTGAGTACCAGGAAAGATGGTTAACAAATAAATTTCAAGAAATTTCCTGTGAAAACTGATAAAAAAAAAATAATATTTGTAGATCAAGTTTTTTCACTCCTGAAACTATGATTCTGCATTCAAACACATTAACTATTAGCTGACTCCTCTCCCTGTAACAACTCCTGCCTACCTCCACTTTCTTCATTTTTCAAATCCACCCTGCCTTCTAGATGGCTTCAGTAAGCCACTGAAACAGTACTTGTAGAAATATAGAGGAATGCCAGCCACTTTACATATTCAAGACAAAACTTTCTACAACAGCATGCTGTAACTCAGAACAGAGGTGTTATGGCCTCTAGTGTATCAAATCATTCAATTAAGATTTACGTCTTAAAGACTGTACTCCTCTTAGCCCTACTGAAATGTCTGTCTTCTTTCAGTTCCTCCAAATACCATGTCTCCACAGGACTATGTAAATCAGATTTCAACAAAGGAACCAAAGGAACCACAATTCTCCCCATCCCTCCAGGAGCGGGGGTGGGGGGTGGCTAGACTGCGTGGCTGACTTGCCGACAGAGTTTAAACCACGACACCTGTGAAGTTAGAAGTCCTTTCCCTTCCAAATCACTCCATGTGCATGAACTACTCCAAAAGCATGTCTTGAGTCCGTATAAAGGTTGACTCTTTCCTTGACTTAATTCCACAGCTTGAGTGAAGGCTAATAATTCAATTCAGCCTTCTGGGCAGAATTACTGCTAGATAATTATTTGCTTTCCAATAGTTCTGTTAGTTACCACTGAATATGCAGCTTTTCGTTTTCCATCTGACATGTAACTGCTTCCATCAATAAAAAGCTTCTGTCTCACATAACTGTTCATCTAGACAATCTGGCCTGCTAGAGTAAGCATAATCCTCCAGTTCCCAAGGCCAGGTTAAGAGTAGATGTTTGAATGAGTGTCATCATGCTCCAGAAGCGCTGTTTGGTACTGAGCTAATTGACTTGAAGAAATCCAGTAATGTCCATTATTTTCAAGTATGAGGTACATACACAGTAAGGGGGTGGCCCACTGTCAGTTTTCAAGACTCTTCGATCAGAGTTAGGGTTGCAGCTACTGCTCGCAAACAAGCAGGCCACCCTTTGCTCACTTCCTCCACTTGCTGGGAGAAGAATCCCACTGAGAAGTTTCCCACTGGGAAGAGTATCTCTTCCAGCTTCTTAACTTCTGCGTAAGCACTCCCACTGCTACTTGTTGCCTTTCATGCACATACAATTGAACAGTTTCTGAAATTTGGGAGTCCTGATGCAGGGACTCCATTCACTTTTTCTTAATTCCATCAAGAGCTTTTCAGCATCCTAGAGTCCATTCAATACTGCTTCTGGTCCTTTTGAAGCATCATATAAAGGTTTGGCTATCAAGCCAAAATTTAGAATCCAGAGCCATTACTATTCAGCCATCCCTAGAAACCCTTGCAATTGTTTCATAGAATTGTAGAATCGTTTGGATTGGAATGGACCGTAAGATCACCTAGTTCCAATCCCCTACCATGGACAGGGACACCTTCCACTAGACCAGGTTGCTCAAAGCCCCATCCAACCTGCCCTTGAACACTGCCAGGGATGAAGCATTCACAACTTCCTTGGGCAGCCTGTTCCAGTGCCTCACTACTTTCACAGTAAAGAATTTCTTCCATATATCCAACCTAAGTCTTCCCTGTTTAAGTTTGAACTCATTGCCTCTGGTCCTATCACTACAGCTCCTGATGAAGAGTCCCTCTCCAGCATCCTTTTAGGCCCCCTTCAGATACTGGAAGGCTGCTATGAGGTCACCACATAGCCCTCCCTTCTCCAGGCTGAACAACCTCAAATTTGAGGTGGGAACAATTCTGTGTATCACCTCTATCCTGTCAGAACCCGGCTTTCTCTATCCTCTCATGATCTCAAAGCCCATATAATGGACTTCCCTTTTTCCAATTTGAAAATAAATAAATAAAATAAATAAATAAATAAAGAGTAGGCTTATAGCTCTCTCCAAACACTCTTCCTATCTGATCCGATCAATATATCACACACGTATTGCAACATTGAAAGTTTCATATTTACAATGCCATTGTTCCAATTCTTTTGCCAAAATATTACCAAATATTGTGAGGCTAATCTTGAATCCCTGAGGGAAGATGGTCCAGCACAACTGCATCTTTCATCCAGTAGCCAGATTCTCCTATTCAAAGGCAAAGTTGACTCTGTTCATCCACTGGTATGCAAAAGATAGTATCTTTTAGATCCAGCACTGTAAAACATTCATTAGTCTCTGGTATTGAGGTGAAGAGGGTATAGGGACTTGGGACTACCTGGTGTGCATCAGCTGTCTGAGCATTAACTTCTCCTAACTCATGTATGAACCTATATTCCAACTGGGAGGATTCGAATGTTAAATTCCAATTCACATTCTTGTAACAGTCAAAATTTCAAGAAAGAGTCTATTGTACTGGCTTGGGTTTTGGTTTTTTTTTTCTTTTTTTATCTGACCCACATTTTTGCTTATTTTCTTCAGTGCATAAACATATTCACAGTCTCCTTGCATTTTCTGGAGGGATATGCAATTGGACAGACCCCTCAGAAAAAGTTAATTGTGCATTCAACTTACAAAGTAGATCTTGTCCAAGCAGTAGTTATCTCATATTCCCAGTTGTAAATTCCACTGGTTGCAAAAACTCCCTGTGGAATTCTCTCGTTGTTGCACCAACATTTACTTAACGGTCCGTTGTAACTAGTAACTACAGAATGAGTAACTCCAGTGTCTATCAAGAAATCTATTGTTTCATTCCAGAGCTCAATTGGAACCAGAGGATCGGCTCCAGTCCCCTTCAATCTAAACTGATTTCTGATGTAACTCCTACTGCTTCTTCCAACTGCCTTTTCTGCCCACTTACAAGTTGTGGATATTCTCTCTTCCAACACCCTTCCCAGCTGCAATAGGCACATTGGTCAGCTTAGAGAGGTATTTCACCATGTCCTTGTCCTCTCAGTCCCCTACATCCTCAGACACTCATTCCCCTAACTTGCCACTGTCCACTAGTTAAGGCAGCTAACAACAGGGCTTAGAATTTGGCCTCTTTCTCTATTTTTCCTGTACCTCGTCTCTGCTATTTTATACTTTGTAGTCACATTAGCTGTGAAATCACCATTCCACCGATAAAAAGCAGATTAAATAACATTCTACTTTTTTCACTCTCAGGGTCCAGAACATTTCCCTTACAAACCACTTCACAAAGTCTTTCGTGGAAGGCTGAATGAGATTCTTTCTTTCCCTGTTTTATCTCATATAATTTTGCAACTACTATAATTTTGCACTACTGAATCACTGGTCATCCAGGTTTCAGGGCTGGTCGTACAAAGCTCACAATCAAAAGGTCAGAATTCACCCAGCCAAACCCCTCTACCTGAAGTGGTTAGTCAATCTGGGCAAAGGACTACAGATCTTCCACGTGGGCCACCAAAACGCCCCACACGCAGGATCATTACCTGCCGTAATTCCTATTGCTTCTACTGATTCCCTCTTCTGTCCACATACAAGTTGCAGACATTCCCTCTTCCATGCCCTTCAACAGAATGCAAATTATAGGTATTTCTATTCTTTTATTCTAGCTTGTGCAAAATAGGTAGCAATGCCTAGCTCCCCAACTGTCAAAGCTTTACACTCTTTATTCATGGCATCAAACAAAGACATCAGCCCTCATTGGTTACAAGTTACATAACTCTTTCATTACTTACCACATAGTTTCCTATTTGTTAAGCAACTTTTAATTTTAATCAGTCCACACGATCACTGCCTACTTCTCTTTGGTTTCTTGTGTCACTGGTCAGCGAGTTGGTGGTCACAATAGGAATCACCTTTCAGCCAGTTAGTTCTTAGTTTTGCTGCCAGTCGGCTCATCCATCCTGCATAAGTACTTCCATCTTGAGTTTCTCCTTTAAACAAATGCTTTGCTGGCACTTGATAGAGAATTTAGCAGAGCATACAAAAATGTGTATTACCTGAACTATTAATAAATAAATAGTTCTTAGAAATAAGCTACTAGCAATGCATTTTATTAAGCACCTGGTATCAACCCGACTGTACAGTTCTGTGAGGACAACCTTTTGAAGCCATTACTACTCCTCCGCAACTGAATTTCTCCCATCACAAGCAGCTTGCAAAGAACCCAAGGGGTACCTCATGGCGTGGTAAGATAAACACACTACTGTATGCTGAAACCTGGACCCATGGATGGCACACACGAGGCTCTGCATTTTGAGGATCGCGGAGGGTACAATTTAGCTACACACGGACGTGCCTTGCCAGAGAGACTCGGAGAGCAGCCCACCAGCCCTCCATCCTCCTAAGGACGGAGAAGCCTGCATGAAACTGAGCTCCCTGCACTTATCCAGGCCTGGGCAGGCACGGAGCGTGGCAGCGCCACAGAAACAAGAGCAGCACAGAGGAACCGGGGAACCGTCGGTAAGGCGAGAACCGGCCCCGACATCGCACCTCCGGCGCCGGGGAGGAGGCGGCAGCCCGGGAGGGCGGGCGGCACCGCCTCCGCCCCCTCAGACTCCCGTTTGCCAGGCGCGGTCCCGTGCCTAGCGCGCAGCCGCACTGGTTCAAAATCGTTTGTCGCTCACATCGGAGAAGCTGCTTCCGTTTCCAACACTGCATTCCAGCCACACCTGCCTGCGACGGAGCCGCGGCTCGCTTCGCTGCCCTATCCGCTTTGAGGAGGACGCCGTGCTCTGCCGCCCCAGCAAGCTATGTCCGCCGACGGTAAGGCCGCCGGCAGAGCGGCCAGCGGCCCGCCGCGGGAAAGCAGACGAGACGCGGCGCGCACAGAGCTCCCTCATCTTTCGCAGCAGCCGCAGCGCTCGCTGCCTAGCCGGTCGAGCCACGCCCACCACGCCCGCCGCTATTCGCCGGTTCCGGCGCGGTGCACCATCGCCATTGGCTGTCGCTGCTGCCCGTCACCGCCGCGTCGTGGCGGCGGTGGTTGTGGGGGCTCGGGGCGCTGTGCGGGCTGGGAGTAGCGGTACCCGCAGCGGTTAACGGTTTCCGTGCGCGGCAGGGAGGGTCCTCGCGGCCGGGGGCCGTTGTAGTCGCCGCGCTGGGCGTGCCCCAACGGCTTCGGGTTTTCCCCTCCCTGGGAGCGCGTATTGCCGAGGAGCCTCTGCAGCGAAGCCAAGGGCTGAGGGGCGGCCGTGCGTGGCTGTGCCGCGGGGGAGCTGGAAGCGGGAGTCCCGCAGGGAGATTACTGCCCAGGCGAAGTAACGTGACCCTGACACAGTTTGATTATCGCACGGTGTAGGGCCCGAGGGTGACAGCGGCAGTTGCGTGGTATGCGGTGGGGGAAGCATTCGCGTTCCTTAGTCTTCAGATGGTGAGTGTAGAGGTAAAACGCGGTGGAGACTTGGCTATGTAGCAGCGGTGTCTCGGCCGTGGCAGGTCCCCGGGTGCTGCAGTTACTTTGCTACAAAACCTGAGTACCAGCAGAGATGAGCAGTGCGCCTAAAGTGCGATGCCTGACACAATGGTCTTTCCTGTCAAAGACATAATGCATAGTGCAATTTCTGTATCTTAGAGTTTAACTTAGGCTCAAACCGCGTATTTTTGTCAGCTGCATGCTCTACCCTGCCCTTCCAAGAAGTAATGTTTATACAGCCTCACATCAGTTTAAGCTGATTTAGCTTGTTGCTGTCACAGGACTCTACCCTCTCAAGAGGTTCCACTTCTCTCTTGCTCAGATGCCCAGTTTCCGTGTGTGATTTCATGGTTCAAGGAGCTTTTCTGGCTAAAAAAAAAAATAAATATTTTTGTTGGGGTTAGGTTTCAGCCAGTTCACTGTGCAACAATACAAGTGTCAGTGTGAAGTAAAAGGCTAGGATTAAGATGTTGTAGGGTAGGAGCATAGGAATGCTGATATAGTCCAGACTAAGCAAATGTACAGAGTAATGCGTTGGGTGTCTGTTCCTTCTCTTTTGTCCTAATTTCTTTTGGTCTCCTGATTGGCTTTGTCTGTAAGTAATCTTAAAAAAATATTAAGACTGTTCTAAATTCCTCAGCATCAGAAAAGATGTACCATTAATAGTATTCGTCAGTCAAAAGTTGCAATATGTATTCAAATCTTAGTGAGCAGAGACCTCTTTCTGATGCTTGTTTTACCTAGAGTTTTGATCTTATTAGCATTTTAGTAATCCAGATGAGACATAATGCCGCAGGAAATCTGGTTTCATTACTCTGCTCCTCACCATAGTAATTGGTTTGCATTTGCTCAATATATGATCCCATTGTTTTAATCTGTTGCAGACTTCAGTCATGCAAATTCTGACTACAGCATTCTAAATTAACTATTGCTCCAGTGTTTACTGGCTGTTGATAAGCATGTTATCCCTGGCAGAATATTATGGTGTCTCTGACCTGTGACAACATATCTAGATTAATGACAAAATTATCAGAAACATGCTAAATTCAAGGATGCAACTTGTGGTGGATGGTACCATTTTTTTCTGAGTACAGTACTTGAGCATCATTATGAAATCTAGTTTGTTTTACACATAGCTTCCATGACTGTCTGTTGCACCTGGGAGTATTGAGATCACATTTGCAGAAATATATGTCTAACTGAACTCTTAGAAAATGAAGAAAAAAAACACCGTATTTCTTTGGAAAGTTTGACTCAGTTTTTGTGATTTGGCTAGCAGCCCCCAGGAACTCTGCAATAGAGGTCGGGATAGGATTTAGTTCTGCTTAGTGGTTTCAGCTCTCACCTGCCTTTAACATTCCATACCTCATGGTTACCTACATTTCTGTTTCTGCAAAAAGTGAGAGCATTCATTAGGTAATGTCTGACTCAGTATGAGTCCTTCCTTGTCCCTCAGGTATATGTTGTGTATTTAATTGGTAACCTACTTGGGGAAAGACAAGTCTGTCAGTTTTTCTACAGACCAGCTGTTGCATTAGATCCCATTGTATTTCTTTGCTCATAGGTTTGATTATCATGGTATGCGGAGATAATGCATACTATGATAATGCTTAAAACTCTTAGTTATGTCTGCGGTGAGACTGAGATAATATGCAAATGATTACTTGAAGCTGGGATGGGATGATACTGGCCCTGAAAGGCATCATGGCACTGATACCTCTGTGCACTCTCTTGTGTTAGTTCTTTTTTTTTTTTGTGTATGCTAGCATAAGTGTCAGGCCATAATTAAAGCAGGATTTAGCTGTGGTCCAAGTTAATGCTAGCCGAGTTGCCTTTTGTAACTTAGTTTAAACCCAGGTCAGTTAGTTCCTTGATGTTTTGTTGTTTTGTTTTTAATGTTGTTGGGTAGGGTTGCTTTGCTTCATTAGCTTTGGTATGTAATTTGTAGTTGCTACAGAGGGATTTTTTGGCATTTGTTTTTGTTTTCTTTTTAACTCAAAGACTTCATGTTTTGCACTTTAGTTTTGTGAGGGTTTTGGTTTCTGTTTGCTTGTTTCTACTATTTCTGGATGTTTAATATCAACATCTTTTCATCTCTAAATCATTTCAGTGGCCTGTCCATGCATCTTTGAGTTTTATGTATGTTTCAGTCTGGTTCTGTTTGTCTTTCATTCTTATGTTTTGCATTTTTCTTCTGTTTTTAGCTCTTTTCACCAATACCTATACTACTACACCATTTGGAGAAAGGTGATCGAGCAGCACTGAAAAGATAAGCGGTCATTTGGTTGCTGGAGTAGGTTGATCAAATGAAAGGGTTTCAAAAGAAAGAAAATTTTTAAGCCATAATTACTTTAAATATATTTCTCCATTGGTTATTGGAAATAAGTTCTTTATGATGCTTGGGTTTACTTTGGTGCATAAAAGCAGCTTACTATAGTAATGTAACTTCTGATGCAGGGTTAGACACACAGTTGGACGTTTCTGCATGTAAATCATTATGAAAGCTGAGCTCAAATTGCTCGAAAGCTCAGTAAGTGCTTTTAACTTCCTACAAATACCTGCTGCCAAATACCTGATGATTTTGTGTAGAAAGAAGCAAAGAAGAAATCCTGGTGAAAGAATTCTGAATGGTGAACACAACGGCTTTTAAGTTAAAAAGAGCACCTCCAATCTTGGTTTTCTAATCTGGTCTTTTCACAGTACTGCTCTGTCTCCAACTATCTTTCTGTGCAACACATTTTTCTGCACGTGCGTTTATCCATTTAATGGATCTATAATACATCCTACTGTCTTACTGAAAATCACAAGTTGTAGTCTATACCATACAACCCAGTGCATGCATTGACTCTCAGAGAGCAATTAGTTTGGTGAAGTTTTTCTCATTTTAGAGGATTGTCAGTTCAGTTTTCAAACAGAAATTAAGCATTCTCTTACACTGATAAATGGTTCCAATGACTTGATAAACCAGCCTACTTAGTAGGTTTTACTTACTAAATGTGTAATTCACTTCATGGTAAAAGCCTTATTTGAAATATATAAACCTAAAATATTTCTTAATCACACTTGTTTAATTTATAATTTCCTGTCAAGACTAACTGGAAACATCTAAATATCTATGTCATTATATTTTTTGTGTCAGTGGAGTTGATGCAATGAAATTACTAACTTAGCACAAGAAATGCAGTTACATCTTCATTCAAGTCTCATGTGAAAAATAATCTTGATGGCTTAATTTTTTTTATTTTTTTTTTTTTCAGGACCACAAATTAATCACAGAATCTGGCAGTTTGTGCTTTCTACCTGAAAGACAGATAGGTATTTAATATTGTTTGGTGCTGTATACGGTATTGCTCCATATTGTTAACGCTTCTCAGAAGCAAGAGAAATACTCAGCATTGCTTACAGGACTGTGTTGCAGTTTCTTTAAGATTATAAGTGAATAGCTGGAATTCTTTTATTCTTTTGTCATAAGTTTCTGAAGGTGTGTGAAGATTGCAGTTGAATGAACGAAGTTGTCCTCACATGTAAGAATTACTTCAGTTGTGACATGAAGGATTGCTTCACCTTGCCTGAATAAGTTATGTAAAGGACTATGATATGATAACTACTTCTGCCCCCACACACCTTTTTTTAAACTACCCATTATTTGTTGTCAAGTCCTTCTAGACAAAATACTTTTGAGCAGTTTTTTTTTTTGTTTTTTGTTTTTTTTTTAATGACTAACCAGTCTACTACAAAGACATTTTCATTTGTTGACTGACTTCAGAGGCAAAGCAGCTAGAATACATTAGGAAAAGGACGAAGTGCTTAGTGTAAAGCAGGTGGGTCTGTGTTTCTTGGAGCAGATTTCCTTACTGTTGAAGTCACCGGTCATGTTGATAAACCATGGGTCATGTATTCTAATCTCACAACTTCTTGACTGTCTGTGTAAAAGTGCCATTTTGAAGAAGGAATAATTTTCTTTCCCTGCATGAAAGCAGCCATGTTGAGCAATGGATGATGGAGGATAAAAGTTCTTGGGATGAGGAAGACTGTGGGCACCATCTTAGAGGAGACTAGTGCATGCTGCTGCATTGCCCCTACATCATTGTAGAAATGTGTTGCAAATAATTAGCTATGTTTTGGAAGTGAGGCATTTTCTGTATCTTCTGTTTCATGTGTTTATCCTTCTGCTGAGAGCTCCTGTAGCTACAGATTTTGGTGACTTTCTGCTTAGAGTCCACTGTACTACTGATACTCTGATACTGAAACTTATTTAAGGGAGAGCAGGGAAGGGTGTGGAAGACTGAGCTTTCCTTTCAGTATCAACTACCTGTAGAAACTGTCCTGATTTCTGATCATATTAGCCTTCCTCTAGTCCAGATGGAGCTGCTTTGTCTTTGCTACATGCTGGTTCCACAGAATTTTCCCTCTTTGTACCTGTTGCTCTGTCTGCTGTAGATTTCAGTGGTGTAGTTGCTGGTCAGCTAGGCTTGATTTGCCTGCCTTATTTCCTGTGGGCCAATGGGAGGCATGAGATTTGTGGTGAATATACAGGAAAATTCTGTGCATTGTAGGGTTGCACAGGTAATGTACGATTTCATAGAATACTTGAGGGTGGAAGGGACCACTTGAGGTCATCGAGTCTGACCTTCCTGCTCAAGCAGAGTCACCTAGAGCACATTTTTCAAGACTGTGGCTCTTGAATTCTTTCCAGGGAAGGAGACTCCACAACCTCTCTGGGCAGTGTATTCTAATGCTCAGTCACCGTCACAGTAAAGAAGTTCTTCTTCATGTTCAGGTGTAACTTCCTGTGTTTTACTTTATCCCCATTGCCTCATGGCCCATTGGCTGGCATGACTGAGAAAGAGTCTGGCTCCATCCTCCTGACAGCCTCCCTTCAGATACTTATACACATTCATCAGATTCCCACCTTAAGTCTTCTCTTCTATAGGCTGAAGTGGCCCAGGTCCCTCCAGCTTTCCTCATATGAGAGATGCTCCAGACCCTTAATTAGTCTGGTAGCCCTTTGCTGGACTTGCTCCAGGAGCTCCATGTCTCTCTTGTACTGGGGAGCCCAGGACTGGACACAGCATTCCAGGTGGGGTCTCACCAGGACTAAGTAGAGAGGGAGGATTACCTACCTCAGCCTGCTGGCAATGCTCTTCCTACTGTAGTCCAGGATACCATTGCCCTTCTTGGCCACAAGGGCACATTGCTGCTGACCCATGAACAGCCTGTCCACCAGGACCCCAGGTCCTTGTCTACAGAGCTGCTTTCCAGCAGGTCAGCACCCATCCTGTCCTGGTGACTGGGGTTGTTCCTCCCCAGGTGCAGGACCCTCCACCTGTCTCTGTTGAATTTCAAAAGGTTCCCCTCTGCCCATCCCTCCAGCCTGTCTAGCTCCTCCTGAATAACAGCGCAGCACTCCTCCCAGTTTTGTATTGTCAGCAAACTCGTGTCACTTTCTCTAGTTAGGGATAGAAAGATGATTGCAGGGCAGCAGCAGGCCAGCTGTAAGTAAGGCATTTGCCAGGCTATACAGTACCCTATTTGGGAAATTGGCAGAGAGGATTCTGTTCTTGCCTGCTTCATTACAGTTGCACTTTTCCTGACTGTTAACTCCCTCCCAGAGTAGGTAGAATACTAGATAAATGTCAACAAAAAAGAGTTTGTGTCTATGAGGCAGTTAAATAATTCAACACGTACAAATAGTTCATGTTAGCTTGCATTGAACTTCAGTCAGTGAACATCACTGAAGTGCTAAAAGCTGCACCTAAATTAAGTTCATGAGTAATCCTCTTGTTTACTTCTATACAGCTAATTAAAATGGGCCAAGAACCGTTCTCTGGGCCTAAACAGTGTATGCCAGCTCCCAGTCCTAACAGCTAAACTTCTTTTTGCAGGGCAGCTATGCCCCAACTAGCTTTTTGGCTTCATTTACTAGTGTAAGCGTATCTACTGACTGCATGGCAACTGGTTGATGTTTCTGAACAGACCCACAGTTTGGTGAAGTCTTTCATAATCTGATGACAGCCAAATCCAAATCCTGGTGAATTGTTTCTTCTGGATTAGATGGGAGTAACGGGGGGGGGGGGGGGGCAAAAGGAAGACTTTTATGACCTATGGATTTCAGCTTCTTTCCCACCTCTTGGTCTTTTAAGAAATGGGCACAGAAGAACAGATCAGGATTTGACATGAATTGTTTGTGTAAGAGTAAAGAACCAGACCACTATTATAGTCATGCAGCCCTTATTCATTCCTGGAGCTTAGTCCATGCTGTGCCCTGAACAGGGTAGAGATCCTGTGGAAAATACAGCATGTGCTTGTATAGTTAGCGTGTGCTGGCTGAATTTACGTTTTATTTCCTAACTTCAGTGGTTCACAGTGTGGTTCCTTGCATTAATTTGTTTAATCAAGAATAAATTCTACTTCCTGCCCTACCCTCCCAAAGCCAACAGATCTAGCGCTAATAGCTATAATACAGTTATTCTGAAACCACGGTGGTTTTTTTCTTGATGTAGTATGTTTAATTGGAAAAAATTTGGTACTGAAGATTTGCCATTCAGTATTTCTGCACAGCATCTTACTGGGAGCTGATCTTTGGTTTGATCTGAATACCAGTTCTGCAGTTAGGACTTGTAGAATTTAAGTCCATTAAACATTTCTTGTTTATGGAAGTAAAATTTCATATCCAAAAGAATGTTTTGTCATATGCTTGAGTGTAAATAGTGGAGTTCTTCGAAGTTATAAACCAGTACTGGTTTATAATTGTTTCTGCTGAAGCTGGATGCTGTAGGGAGAGTAACAGCAAGCTGTTTCTCTCTTCTAGTGTGTGTTGAAACCTCAATGCCGTTTAGAAGTGGCTGCATTTAGATGCAAAAGTGAAACTGGGTTAAAATTAGCCAGTGGTGGTACAATCCAGATAATGCTAGACCAGATAAAAGTGCTAGTCACCTGATATGCAGAGGGGTGTCTAGCCTTACCTGTTTCTCTTTCTACATATGCTGATAGATTATGTACCTGTGAATGTTGAAGATGATGTGGAAGCAGTGATTATTGACAACGGAGAAAATGGACTGTCCACACAAAGCTGTGTGTCAATGGAACAAAACTCTGAAGTAAACAGTGGTGTTCACCATGTGGCTCAACTTGCCTATGGTAATTGTTCATTTTTACTGCAATGAATAGTTAATGGCTAGTTTTAATGCTGTATTGACAGTGCTGCTGTCTTGGATGCTTTCTGTATTACCCTTATTGTTACAATGTGTTTTATTAGAAAGCTACCTTACAGAAACTGATTGGCAATGCATTTAAAAAAAGGGACCTTTTTAGTTATTATTTTAGAGGTCCTTATTAATAGTGAACCCATTGAAATATTACATTTTTACATTTTTTTAAATTTAATTATAAATAAGTATACCTAGGAATGAATTAGCAAGCAAATTGGAAAATAAATGGCATGGAAGAACCTAACCCAGAAAATGAGTTTTTTAGGTAAACTGGCCAGTGCAATTCAGTGGCGCGCTGGGGATACTGATGTGCGGTGGTAGTAAGATGGTTGTTTAAGGTGATAAATTACCAGCTGTAAGTAGCTTTTGCTGTTCGTCTTTAATTCACTGCATTTATTTTAACATGCAAGATGAAAGTCTCTCAAATCTTACCCAGTTCTCTGTTGGCCCAGACAAAAATTAATCATAGTTGTTATGAGCATTTAGTAAGTCCAGTAGCAGTATTACCGAGTTTGCAAGGAAAATGACTCTAGCTAAGTGATGGCCCTTATTGGCCTTTTTGTTTGGCCAGTTGGTTTTATAGAGAATCTCATCAGTATTCCTCTTCAGCAGAGTCAAGTTACATTTCAGCTTCCTAGTGTTGTTAGGTGCTTCTGAGAACTTTTAATCTTTTTTGGTCTTCTACTTGAGAGTAGAGTATACTCTAATTTTTTGTACATTTATGTCTGAAAACATATTTGGGGGAGGAGGATGGTTTGGATGGCTTACTTTGGGGTTTGAGTCTGTTTAAAAAAATAATAATATTAAAAAAAATCCCACCTGAGAAACTGTCATAGACAGTTGCTCGTCTTGATTTCAGGGCAGGAACGATTATTTCTGTATCAACAGAAGAATCATGAGTGGGTATGATTGTTTTTTAAAAGGTAAAAGATGGTTTTGTCGACTTCAGGTTTACAGCTCCTGTTGTTGATCGTTAGCATTTGATATTGTCTAGTTAAAATTGAGTATAGTGAGATGTATGACTAAAACATGGCATAAGTTTATCTTGAATATAACTGTTTAACTTAACTCTTTGAACAGCATTTCTCTCATTATTTTATTCAACCATCTTAGGCCAGTGACTTGTCAAGCAGTACCTTTTCTTCAGATCTGGTTCTGTCTGTCCAAACTGGTTTCTTTGACTTTTGTCTCATATCTTCTTGCCTACGGATACAGAGCTGTCAGAGCAGCCAGCTGCAGAACACTTCCATTCTGTTTTTACTTAGCCATTTATGCCCACAAACTCGGTATTGCTTTTGCTGGCACTCTTCTTTTAGGTCGTATTTGTGCCTAAATCTAAGTTTGGGAAGCTAATCAGAAATATGATTAGTTTAACATAATATGTTTAAAATATAATTAAACCAGGAAGCTGATGTTTCTCCAGGTAAAGTAGCATTCTGGTTTGTCTGCAGAAAGTATCTGAAGTTTGAGGGACTACACTGTGCCTGTGAGTTAATCCTCCTGCCCTGCACCCCTTCTACTTTCAACGTGTTCTCTTGCCTGTATTGCTGTTGGTCTCTCAGGGTGCTACTGTCTCTCAGGTTCAGTTCTGAGGATGCTTAGTACTAGGAGATGAGTGCTAGGTCTGTGTGGTGAAGACAGAGGGATGAGGTGATCTGGGAAATTCTTAAGCTGGGTGGGAGAGTAGGTAGGTTTTAATCTTCACCTAAGGGAATAAATATTAAGTTTAATATTAACTGCATATATCTTTTTATTGCTGAGTATTGATTGTGATTTCGAAATGATGTTAACTGCACTAATCTAAAACTAACACAGTTCTTGCCTAGGTAGCATCTGTCAGCTCTGCCACAACATTTGTCTGGGCTCTTAATGAAATTTTTTTTTTTTTTTTTTTTTTTGATTAATCTGAATACATTACTATTTTTCTGTCCTGCCCGGCCCCTTCCTCTTAGAGTGCATAAAAGTAAAGTGATTGTCTTTGCTTTCCAGTATTTCTCTTAGCTTGTCCTTGTCCCATTGGATTTGATTTCTCTTCTGCTTTTGGGATATTAGTTCTACTTTCCAGTTGGGCCACAAAATAAGTTTCATTATTTTGCAGAAGCAGTAAGAAGTACCCTTGTAACTTCTTCTCATGCAGCCCCTTTTACTTGGAAAAAATTTATTGTAGGTATCCGCAAAACTCCCCCACCATACCTTTTCAGCTTAGGTTAAGCTGCAGAAAGCCCTTTCACAGCAGATAGTATGGTGGAAACTTGGTGTTGCCTTTTTATGCCAGCTATTTTTCGTTAGTTCTTTCAAACTTTCCAAGGTCTTGTTTAGCTTCTTCAGCTTTCCTTGTCCATTAATATCTTCTCTTATATGTATCTTATTACCTATATAGTGTTTAGCCTGTCTATAGCTAATATACATAGAACTCAAGGGGAAGTAATTACTACTTTTATTTTTTCTTTTTTTCTTCTTCTTCCCTTCTTAAGTTTATATTTCTTTTAAAAAAGAGCTGCTATAGCCCTTTCTGGAAAGTTTGAGGTAGAAGCCTGTGTATGACGGACAGGCAAAATTGGCAGTAGAGACACAGTTTTTCCCTTAACAGTGAAGATCCTTTAATGTTCTTCAAAAGATAGGTCTGGGCTTCAGGAGAATTAGGGCAGAGCTTTTTAACTGTGTGCCAGTCCCACACATAAGCGGTGGAAGCATTTTGTGTACCACTTGTGGATATCTTGGGTTTGGTAGTCCCTGACTACACTGAGTCAACAGAAATTACCTGTTGAAGAGTGTTTCAGTGACAAAGATGGGAGAGACCCCATAAGTGAAGGGAATGGACAGCTGAGGACGAAACAAATGGAAACTGTTTTACACTGTGGGTGTTTCGCCTGAATTTCAGTTAACTGGTCTTGTTGGGGTTCTGAGTTTTGTGACTTTGTAAAATTGGACATGAAAACAGAGAATCAGCAGTGAAAAGCAAGGCAAATGAAAAGGAGGCTGAAGAGAGTTTGGAAGAAAGAATATTAAATTTATGATTTCAGCTCTAAATGAATTTAGTAAGTGTTTAATAATATGCTAGTAAACAAATTTCAAATAACTAAGCGGTTAGAAAGTAAGAAAAAAAATAAGGTGGCTGCATGCTTCTTCATAGTGAAATGTTTAACACAGTGCGAAGCCTTCTGATATGCTTTGCTTTCTCTCCATTTTTTTCAGGAAGCCAAGGCTTATCAGTGCTAGCTGAACGATTAACATCACATATGAGCCATTCTGCAAGTATGCAGAGAGGAAATGGTCACAGCCCTGAGAAAATGAATTTTGTGTTTTCACGTAATAAAAGAAAACGACTTGCCCCTACTCTAGTGGGACAGAATGTGGTATGTTTCCCAAAACAGTAGCCCTTTGTTTTGAGGCTGGTTTCAATGTCATTGGGCATGTAATTTTTCCTTTACTTTTGTATGCTCATTTAGTGATATCCCAGTGAAGAAGTGGGGGTAGGATATAAATGTAGGGCATGGAAGCTTCTAGCAAGAGTAAAACCTTGTTTTGCTGGATACTGTGTGTGTGTAACAACAGCTAGTGTGCAACAGAGAGTAACTTGTACTGATTTCCCATGTGGATTCTGTTATTTTTCTCAGTAAAAATCTCTTTGTAGAATTTACGATAAGAGTTGAAACTTTATGTTGAATAAGGGTTTGCCTCCATCTGTCCAAAGACAGACTACATAGTTCTAACTTGAGGTAGTGTGAATCTTAGTTCACATCACTAAAATATTATTCTTAAATTCCAAAAGTCAGGGTGGCTCTTTAATTTTGCTTGTTGTGAAACAGAAAAACACCACCTCCGGATTGCCAACCTTCCCTTTTAAAAATAAGACCTGATTAAATATCACTTAGTTAAAAACCACACAAAGAAACAAAAAACCCACAACAACAAGACTTGAAATCCATGATGTATGATGGATGGATGGTTGATGGATGATGTATGATGCTCCCATCCAGTAAAAGAAAAATGTCAGAATTGTCCAGGTGGTGGCACTGTTGATTTCTGTCTCAAAGCAGCTTTTAGGCAGTAAAAAAATTACATTTTACACTTTTTTACAGCTTCTGCATAGTTATACCCATTGAAATAAATACACTTTTTGTTTTGCAATTGTTTTATTTAAATTAGTATAACTATCTATAAGGAGTCTTATAATTACATAAGACTGGCTATATAGAACATACATAGGTGACAAAGTTCTGGCTTTAGAATAACCAAATAAAAATACATACTATTACATAAATTTACAAGAGGTTTATGTTATGTTATGACCTAACCCCAGGTACATAAATGAGATGATTGTGTTAAATCTCACTTTCTTGGGCCCTTTTGTAACCAGGGAGGGCCTATAGCTGCAACTGAAAATGTCCAGGTTGGATTCCTAGAAGGTTCTCTCTGGTTCAAAACATTGAAAGTTCTTCATGTTATTTCCCAGATGAGAACAAGGGAAGGAGAATATGAAGGTAGTGACAGTGTCATTTATGAGTATGAACCAGACTATGAATGTATAAGTTAATTTTGACTGACTTTGAAAAGCTGCTTTGGGGATGCATGTTTTGGGGTAGACTTAAATAATGTGTGAGGTTTGAAGGGTTTTAATGGCTTAATGTGGTATCCTAAAACTGCATATACTACTAGCTTACACTCTTTTTTATTATTTTAATGAAAAAGGGGAGCATTGTATCTGAAGCTTCCTACACTGAAGCTTCCTACACTGGAGATCAGCAGAAAATTCTAATGGAGGTCCTCAGTTATTGCCAGGTATTTCTTTTATTTTTTTTTTTTTTCTCCAAAATGGCATTTAAACCATTTTAGTTGAATTTCAGGAGGATTTGCATTCTATAGTCAATAACCTATGACTTCATCCTTTCTAGTTCTTCATTTGTTAGTTGCCTGCTCAGTATTTTCAATAAAAAAAAAAAATCTACTTTGTATTTTCTTAAGTTTTCACATCATAGCTTCCAAGAATACTGTTCAAATATTAAGCTTCAATACAAATTGTAAATTCTAGTGATTACTGGAAGGACTTCATGGTAATGGGGAAGATCTGACTGTCATACACACCCAATTTTTGAAAGTACACGAGGCTTGCCAAAAGTATGCCGAAATCCTGGTAGTGGTGTTTTGGTGAGTTCTTTGCTTTTGACTTCTGAAGCAATAGTTGGCAAGATTGAAAATGAGTGCACCAAAAATTAAAAGCATCCCATATTTATTCAGGTGAGGAATTATGTTACTATGGAGTCATAATACTCATGAAAGATACTTAGACCAAGCTTTAGGGAGAATAATTCGTCAGTGGCTTGTAGCCAAGTATTAACGCCTTGCAAGATTAAGCAGATTGTGTGACTTTTACATTATTGCTGCTAGTCTGGGAACGTGTGCTGCAGCAAGTAGTGCTAATGAGAAGCTGTAGCCTCTTTTGATGCCTACTAGGCTGTTTCCATCTCCTTCACTCCACTGTTATGCCCTCTTCCCAGTAAGTCTGCCCTACAGCTACATGAAGCCTTTTAATAATGCCTGTACTGTCCATACCAATTTAAGGACTTTTAGTGCTTGGGATATTTATACATTTTGGAAACATTGATAGCTTCTTTTGTCTGAGGATAATTATTTTTAAAAAAAGATAGCAATTGTATTGAAACCTAACTGTTGGTTTTGATAAAACTTCAAATTATTTTCAATTTATCTACTACATGTTCATCTAGCAATTTTTTTTCATATCCATATGTATTTTTAGAAATTTATTTAGTTATGCTGTAGATCAACAAAAGGTATTGCTTTGCTTAGTTGAAGACACGTTTCCTCTTTGTAACTCATATGTTTATAATGTCCTTGTGTGTTTTTTGCAGAAATAGCTGATGACATGTATGTGATAGATATTTTCAAGTTGTCAGTGTCCTTTCAGTATTAGATAAATATTCTCTTATCTAATTCCTTTATATTCTTATGGCACAGAATGTATGTCTAAGTTGCCATGCAAGCATTGTGTTTGAGTTGCTAAATCCTGGAAACATTGAAGAAGGAACTTTCTATATCACACAGTAATGTATAGTAACAACTGATGGACTTTGAATGCTTTGTCTTATCTGGTTTTTATGTCTGAAAATCTGGGCCTTCACAATAATACTTTTTAAGTGTGTCTGATTACTTTAGTAAGGCAACACAAATTCTTAACATCTGAAAGAAAGGTTCACCTTGGGGATTGACTGAAGATCAGACGCTTTCAATAAATTCTTTTTCAGGTTTTTTATTTTTGATTCTGTGATTATTAAAAATGTGTATGCAGTTGATTGCAATGCCATATTTGTTCTGGAAGGCATTGCTGACTTGATTTCTTTAGACACCATTTACATCTCATTTTCACAGAATCACAAGATGGTTGAGGCTGGAAGGGACCTCTGCAGACTATCTTGTCTAAACCTCATACTCAAGCAGGACCACCTAGGGATGGTTACCCAGAACCATGTTCTGATGGCTTTTGAATATCTCCAAGAAGTGAGTTTCCACAACCTCCCTGGGCAACCTGTGACAGGGCTCAGTCACCCTCACAGGGAAAAAGTATTTCCTGATGTTCAGAGGGAACCTGGAACCTCCTGTGTTTCAGTTGGTGCCCATTGCCTCTGGTCCTGCCACTGGGGACCGCTGGAAGAGAAGATCCTGACTCCATCCTCTTTGCACCCTCCCTTCAGGTGTTTATACATTGATGAGATCCCCCTGAGCTTTCTCTTTTGCAGTCTGAACAGTCCTGGTTCTCTCAGCCTCCTCACGGGAGAGGTGTTCTAGCCCATCCTCTCTGCGTCCCTTCATTGGACTTTGTTCAGTATGTGCACATCTCTGTTGTATTGCAGAGCTCAGGCCTAGACCCAGCACTCCAACTGTAGCTTCACAAGTGCTGAGAAGAGGGAGATGATCGCTTCCCTTGACCTGCTGGCAATATTTTGCGTAATGCAGCCCAGGGTACCATTAGTTACCTTTGTGGCAAGGGCACTCGTATTCAACTTGGTAACCCCTAAGAGATCCCAGGTCCTTTTCTGCCAAGCTGCTTTCCAGCTAGATGGCTCCCAGCATGTCCTGGTGTCTGGGGTTGTTCCTCCCTAGGTGTGGGGCTTTGCACTTCCACTTGTTGACCTTCATGATGTTTCTGTCAGCCCATTTTTCCTGCCTGTTGACATCTGTCTGGATGGCAGCATGACCCCCTGGTATATGAGCTGCTCTTGCAGGTCTGATGTCATCTGTAAACTTGCTGAGGGTATGCTCTGCCCATCATACAGATCGTTAATGAAGATGTTAAACAGAATCAGACCCAGTATTGGATCCTGGTGTACTCAGCTAGTTACTGGCCTTCATGTAGACTTTATGCTGCTGATGACCACTTCCTGGGTGTGGCTGTCTGCTCAGTTTCCAATCCATCTCCTTGGCCTAAGGGCCAATCTTGCTCATAAAGACTGAGGCAAAGATAGCACTGGATCCCTCACTGTTTTCTGTGTCCTCTGTCACCAGGTCCCCCCCCCATATCACATTGGGACCACATTTTTCCTAGCCTTTCTTTTGTCACCTGTGAACTTATGGAAGCCCTTATTGTTGTCTTTGACATTACTGGACACACACAATTCCAGTTAGGATTTTTACTTTACAAATAGTATTTTTATAAATATATTTCCCATTGGTGATATAGAAATCCATTTCAGTTTTCTGCCTGTAAGCCTTCTACCTGTGTACTTGGAAGCTTGTTGTGACTTAATAATATATTATAGCTGATTTGCCTTAGAACTTGTCAGTGTCTTTTCAATGTAAAACAAAATGTACCAAATAGGTACAAATAAAACATCTGCTGGAAGCAGGAAGAGCAGCATTTAAGTGTCAGCCACATTAATGTCACAAGAATAAACTTCTCTGATAATTCTTTTTATTGTGTGATATTTACTACTGGTTTTTGGATTTTGTATCTAAATTGATCTTTAATATGCTTACAGAATGTATATATTACCTAAAGATCTTGCCTAATTTTTGAGAAAGAATTTTGCTCTTAATTCAACTTTCTTGATTTATTCAGATTTAAATTGGGTTCTTGTGAAACAATACTGTCCTAACTCTTGTGTGTGTTGTCAGGCTATGTATGATGCAATTCAGAACTTGGATAAAAAATTTGACCTGCTTCATCGTGAGGTCTCAGAAATGCACCATTCTCGTGTAAAGCCACTGTTGCTCAAACCTGTGAGTATTAAAAACCTAAGGCCTTTTTTTGTGCTTTCATTCTCTCACTTCCTCTAATGCTTATTAAAAAAAAAATCCTCTCACTAAGATTAAAAATAATAGCAAAGTAGTAGACTTAAAATCCATTTCAATTAAATTATTCTTGATTTCTTACTGTACGCCAGCTTCAGTCTCCTGTGTTGTTATTGACTAGTGGTCACTGAGTGGCACCCATCAAATTCAGGATGCCATAAAATTCTATTTGTATTGAAATGAACAGAAATGAATTGTGTAGGTTACATCTGAAACTTGAATAGATTGGTGGTGTTGCTGTATAAGATGTGGTCTACTTTCTTGTTGGTTTCTGCAATGAGAAGAGAGTTTATGCATCACTCACACAGGCTGGTTCAATTGACTAACCAATTTTTAGATCTCAGCAGTGTGGTGTCATATTCATTATGGTATAGATTTTTCTTCTTTTAATAAGAAGAGAAGGCTGTGTGGAGACCTCATAGCAGCCTTCCAGTATCTGAAGGGTGGCTATAGGGATGCTAGGGAGGGACTATTCATTAGGGACTGTAGGGGTAGGACAAGGGGTAACAGGTTCAAACTTAAACAGGGGAAGTTTAGATTGGATCTAAGGAAGAAGTTCTTTACTGTAGGGGTGGTGAGGCACAGGAATGCGTGACCCAGGGAGGTTGTGAATGCTCAATCCCTGGTGGTGTTCAAGGCCAGGTTGGACAGAGCCTTGAGGGATATGGTTTAGTGTGAAGTGTCCCTGCCCATGGCAGGGGATTTGGAACTAGATGATCTTAAGATCCTTTCCAACCATCGCTATTCTATTGATTCCAAGATGCCTTTTTTTTTTCCCCAGTTTCTTTAAGAAAGTTTGATATTAAGTGTACATTGTCCGTTTTGTTCCTAAATGGTCAATCCACTTTTAACTAATAAGACAGAATATCAGTACTTATAACTATGCTCTTTTAAAGGAAAACATAACATGATTTTTGAAGAAGGCCATAAAATCCATAATGACCTTTCTTCATTAACAATATTGCAAAGCTTTTAATGTGGCAGAGGTGATTCTGCTGTCAGGAGATGCCAAGACAGCTGTATGGCCATTTGCTTTAGGGGTGATAAAAGTGATGACACCCTTGTGCATGTTGTATAGGGTGCTACATTTTATTTGGGAATGCATTTTTGTTGACAGCTCTAAGCTTGTACTGTCCACACATCCAAAAATATGAGATTCGGGGAACAAACTGGGCTTGTCAGCTACACTTGGACCCTGTGACATCTGTGCTCTTACCCTCCCCTCTGATCATGTGGGATGGCAGCTGCTTTAATGTCCAGATTAAAAGTGTCCTGAACTGCAGGGTTTTTTTCCTGAGGAAGACTTTTGTTTTATCACTATAAGGTGTAAGGGGGAAGCCAGCAAATGGAGCCTGCCAACCATTTTCTTAGGTTCTTTAAAACCATCAGGAATGCTGTAGGTTGTTCCTTTTTTTTTTTTTTTATTTTGTAAATAGCTGTACCATTTTTGTATGTGTGATGGCCTAAGGATATAAATAAGGAAAGGTTGGTAGTAAAGTTTGTTTTGTTTTGTTTTTCATTAGATCAACTCCAATAGTTGGAGAAATGGACAAACTTTCTGGCATGTAAGCCTTTCTTTAGGTCATATTTTTAATGGCTACCAGGGTGGAATATAATTAGATTTCTGTAAACAAAAAAAAGATACAAAAAGTAAAACAAAAGAAACAGCAAAATTAAAGCCATGCCTGCCAGCTACATTTGGTAGCTCCTGCTCCATGACTTGTATTTTGAACTAGAACACACGCTTTAGGGTGCATATGTTTCTTAGTAAAAGTACCCCAAGCCTTGGAAAACATAGCCGCTTTGTCTGTCTTAGTCTCTTTCGAATCTTCCATTGTAGATGAGATCTGAAGTTTAATGATTTGAGCTAGCAAGTGAAGAATGAAGAGGCAGCCAGCCAGGAGAGAAAGTGTATTGTTTCCCTTCTTGTGTAAAGAGAAGCTAACATGGCAGTGAGACATTCCTTGAGAATTCAGCAGACTGGGTCAATGGCTGGCTGACAGATTTTAAATGTTATTTGGCTGTTCTTTTTTTTTCATCAAGTTCATTTTAAGAGCCTTTATGAAGCTGCCTTTCTCATTATATATTTCCCTGGCTTTTTAGAAAGTAATTGCACCAACATCTCAGGTGGAAGCAAATTGAGAAATGTTGAAGCTGACCAGATAAACTCTTTAGTGTTGGTACTACAAGAAAGAATAAAAGAAAATAAAGGGAAGGCTAAAAAATAATAGTACTAGCTTCATAACAATTAATACTGCAATTAAGAGTCTGTTGCCAATAGCATAATTACTAAAATGTAGTCTTCCTAGTTTGCAAAATAAAAAAATTACCAGATATGTCTAATACAACATTTTAATTGTTTTCTGAATCACATTTGCAGAAACCAGTTGGATTTACATACAGAAGTTCCAGTCATCTGCCCCAGGGAAAAATAGGAGTACAAAAATCCATGGAAAGGGAACCAAGTCTTCATCTTTCTTCACCACGACAGGGAAGACAGAGCCCAGTCATAAGGGTTGCTTTACAAAACAGCCATGTTCATGTCAATTCCACAATAAAACATGTTCAACAGAGTCTTCAGCTTGAATCACAGCAGCCTGTTCACAGGCAGAGCCCACCACTTCCCGCTGTAGTTTCTGCGCATTCATTGCATTCAACATGCACAACAAACAAAAGGATGCCTGACCTTTCTGCCCAATCAAATTTTGTAGCAAGTGTTGTGGAAAGTACTGTCCATGTTGCATCTTCACCAGTGGCATCGTCATTCATGCCAGCACCATCTGAGGCCAGTCTGGGAAATAATGTGATGGTGGTGAACTACAGAAATGCACCTGGGAGTGTGAACATTAGTAACGAACTACCATCGTCTTCAGTCTCCATCAATCCTAGTTTTGGTGAGTTCCTTTGTAATAAATACTCAGAAACAAAGGCTAAAATACCTCTGCTTGTATTAAAAAAAAATATGCCTAACAAAATCTCTATCATTATTTAGCAAAGGAGCTGAACTGGCTGCCTTACAAGCATTTCTGTAATGGAATACTGTTTAAAATGCTTGAAGCAAAGGTCAGGGGAATGTTTAACAGCCATGGATTGCATAAAAATCTCTGCAGTGTACCTACAGTTGTATAGACTACCACAAACTACAGTACATCCTTTGGGTTCTGTTAAGACTAGGCCCTCTTTCTGTCTTGATACGCTTGATGTAACCTATTTTTAACGTGTGTGTATGGCACAAGTAATGCATGCATGCTATATGTATGTTTACAAAGACAGAAGAGATTGCCATTAAAGGTGAGGCACATGCCTGTATACATGTTTTGCATTTAAGAAAGCAACTTGCCTGAGTTGTCTGAAGGAAATACTGTTTTCTTCTTGTGGAGGATTTTGTTTATGCAAAATCGTTTCTATCCTCACATCCTCCAATGTTTAGTCTCTTTCAAAATACTGAATTCCACAGAAAATGAAGAATTCTGTAGATTGTTGCATTATAATAAACAAGCACATATAAAATAGCACTATGTTTTTAAAACTAATGCATTTCTTTCTCAAGTATAAATATCAAATTATGTAGAAGGCTAAGCTATGAGGCTTTGGTTGCTTTTGGCCTAAACAATAGGTTCATGCAGCTGAAGAGCTGCATGAATAGTAGATGAAATACTTAGATATCTATCTGTGAATTTGTAAACAGTGTGTGTTTTAGCCGTACTATGTATGGATTATGCCATTCTTCATAGGCCATTGTCTTGAAAACATGCAATTCTGTAAAATAGGCCAGTCTGAATATTTTGAACTCTTACATGTCTAATGCATTTTCTTAGGTGTCATTTCTGTTGGTGGTTAACATGAATAAGAAAGATATTTTTGGAACCATTCCAGTTTAAAGTTGCTTTTGTAAGAGCAAAGATAAGTAATACATAGTGGAGTTATGTGTAGTAGAAAACGTTGACCAGAGTACCTCAGAGGTCAAGAGAGAGTTTGAAAAAATATTTTTTTTTAACAACTTGCATGGGGTTTTTAATTACTATTTTTTCTTTAAATGTTCTTGTTTTACAAAAGAATTTGTTGGTGACCCAGTGAGAAATGTAAGAGTTCCTGGCACCTATCTGATGAAAGCTCGGCAAAAGACTAAACCGAAATACGCAGCACGCTACTTAGTTCGTGTCTTGTTCCCCAAGGAAACGTTGTTGTGCAGCATTATGGGAGTGAGTGCACGAGGGCGCAGAACACTGGATCCAAACAAAATTGCTGCAGTGAGAGGTATGCTGCTACCTTTTGAAATACACAGCTTTACTTATTCAATACTTAACTAAGTTTCTAATTTACAAGAGTCTTTCTCTGTATGTTTCTGCTAATCATTATCTAGCAACTGGTGAACTGATAAAGACAGTAGTGGGTGTCCAGCTCCGCTCCACTCTCTTTTGGTTTTGAAATTCGTGCTTCGTAGTTCTCAATACTCATTTTTCTCCAGTGTGGACAAACTAATTCTGATTTCTCCTACCTTTGTATATTTCATGTTCATCAGTCATGCTAACTCTTTCTAAGTTTTTCCTTGCAACTTATTCTGTGTTTGTGTGGTGAGTTTTTGGTCATGGTATACTTTGGATTAGCATTAACTGGTGATTCTTAAATACTCTTTCTTTTAAGTTCTGTTCACTTCTCTTGTTTGAGAAATGGGAAAGATGGGAGGACAATTTTTTAATTTTTTTTCCCAGTGTCAAGCCCTTTCTTTACAAAAATCCCCTGGCACATACGTGTGAAACCATACACCTCCTTCTTCCTGTTTAAAAGGTGGGAGGTTATTTAAGCCATGTGAAGTAATTGCACCATTAGCATTACCTTGTCTCTTGTTTTTTTTGATGTTTTTTTTAGTAGGGGGTGGGGTTGTTGGTGCTTTGTTTTTTTTAAGTTAGTATGGTAAATCACACCTTTCCTCTGATTCTACCAGAAAATGCTTAGTAATAAAAGCATTATTCACAACACTGCAAAAAAAGTATCGCTGCACATGTTAATTTCATAGTGCTGCTTAGCTTCAAAACGCAAGTTTACTATCTCTCTGTAGCTAAAGCTGGCAATCTAAAGCTTCTAAATAAGGAACATTAAACATGAAGCATTTCTTTCTAAATTCCTCTTTCTAAATGAGATTATTTGTAAACATCACTTTTTTTCACAAGGCTTAAAACGTTTTGTTTCGTATGCAGAATTTCTTGCAACTAATTTTCCAAACTATGATTTGAGTGAACATGGAAAAGACTGGAAAACCTGTATCACAAATGTCAATGCTATGATCCGCTGCTTACGCTCTGAAACGAAAATAAACCCAGTAAGTTGTCTCAAGGTGATGCTATATTAAGTACTAAATTAGTGCTTCTTTCTCAAGTTATTGGAATTTCTCATCATAGGAGTTCTCTAATTGAAAATTCCCCTTGGGTTCTTGCTTTGCATTGCTCAGCACAGGCCTGCTGACTGCAGCACTAGTTCCATATGGTGAATACTTGAAGCATATCCCTTTCTCTTGCTCTGCATCTTCCTGTTCCTGTGTCCAGCATTCAGTTAAGAGCTGTGTACACATAGGATGCTAAAAGGAAAGCACTGTAAATGTTGCCTAGAAATAGCATCAGATTTGACTGCAAGCTTAAACATGTAGTTACTAGCACCATTTTCACAGGATTTCCTTCAGATATATCCAGCTATGTATTTCAAGTTTATATTGTCTGAAACATCTCTCCTAGAGCACCTGTAACTCCCATTTACCTGTGCTTCTAAAAAGCTTTGTGCAAGTCTGTGAATATTTAGTATCTCTTTCCCCTGTGGTTTTCATGATTGAAATTCAAGAGTAACTGTATTGTAAATATCTGGAATCTAATTTATACTAAATGGGAAATGAACTGGAGCACTACTTAGAAAACTGGTAGGCTTCTCCCAGTGTATGTGCTAACCTCATGTAATTTTCAGGAGACTGCTGAAGGGAAGGAAAAAGTGACTGATGCTCCAGATAAATCTCATTGTGTAGATTTAAATTGTAATGAGGATAGTGAAGGCAATTCTCAAAACTCTCAGAAAATGGCCACAACTGACATGTTGCAGGATTTGGGATTGGAAAGGTTTCCAGAAGTTTTCCACGCACCTTCGATCAAGAAACCGCAGTCTTTGGAACCTATGGGTAAACTAAGAAATGTTCATCTTCTGGATTTGTGTTACATTTTAAATGGTCAGTGAGAGGCAGAAGATGCTACTGTAGGTGAAATTGTGTAGTATAGGGATTTGCTGAACTGTGGGACTTTTAAAGCAGTGACTTGGTGTACATATGGTAGGTCTTCATGAGAGCAAACTAATGGTTGGCCTCTACCAATGTCCCAGGGGGCATCCACTCTAAGACTGGAAAGTTCATCTGTAAGATATTCTGCAGAGTTTCACTGAATAATTAGTTTTCAAGAATTGTTTCATAGTTGCCCTAATTTTGGTTGGGTGTGGTGGGGTTTTGTTTTTGGGGGGATTTTTTGGTAGATATTCTACCTGAATGGAGTAAACTGGCTCAGATTATCTGTTGAATGGTATTGCAGTTTCAGAAGAAAAGCATGTTTCTGTAAAACTGGCTGTTTAGGACAATAAAAATCTTAAAGCAGCCTTTATAACTTTTTTTTTTTTTAATAAAAATGCACAAGATACAAATGCATGGGAAAAAAATTCCACATACAGCATGTGACGCTCTAGAGAGTTTACAGGAAAATAAACTGAGATTAGTTGACCTTTGAAATAATTTATTTGATTAGAATCACTTTGGGGCTCTATCAGACCTGCTCCTGGACCCAACATTTGTTAGTCTGATCCCACAGACATGAGTTACTATCCACATTTTATATATTTTTTTAAAAAATGTTTTTAGTAGAGTCAGGTTGAAGTAGTTAAAAAAATCGATCCTGTTTTTCAGTTTCTACTTCCAGGATCTAAACACCATTGAAACAGCAGAACTTTTATTTAATTATCTAAGAGGAATAGCATCTTCTTTTGAGATTAAAACAATTTAGAAAGTGATCATTAATAATGCAGATTATATTGCTAGCACTGCTGAAAATATATCAGAAGTGCTGTTATGCTGCTGAGAAACAGGGAGGTTTTTTTGGCTACTTGGATATTTGTCTGCAACATGTTGTATTTTACTATTAGCTGTAGTGTTACAGTTTTACCCAGGTCTTGCCAAGCAAGTACAGTAGCTTTGGGAAGAGCTTTCTGTGCCCTAGTTTTACGTAATACAGCCACTTTGAAGCATGGTTAATGTTGGAGAAGTAAAATCTCTCTACCCCCCCTCTATCATTTTTAGAACTTCTTGGGAGTCCATGGCGCAATGTTCAGTTGCCTTTCTCAGTCATTTATGTAGCTAAGGGGAAGTCTCGGCCAGAGTTGTCAGCTCGCTACCTAATTCGTCATATGTTCACTGAAGATGTGCTGGTAAAAAGCAATGTATATGGTAATCTTGAACGTGGCATGAGCCCGCTGGACTGCAACAGAATTAATGCTCTCAGAGGTGAGTAAGAAAATCTCTTTTCAAATGATAATGTGGAGAAAATAACAGGAATGATTAATTTTGTGTCCTGTGAACAAACCACAGTTTCAGAAGTAAGTCTGTGTAACTACTCTGCAGGTATTAATGTAAGCAGTGGAACAAGTTGAGAGAAAGTAGATGGAGTTATATTAAAGCAATTCAAGGAAGTCTGTGTATCACAAATCTGGTTTGTATGATGAAACTTTAGTCTCTCTGGCATCTGCTTGGAGGGGCAGCACAGTGAGAGATGGAAGCAGTCCTAGAGGATTCGGGAGGGTGCTGGGGATAATTTTGTGATACAGGGCTAGGTAGGCCAATCAGAGGTCGTGCACAGCAGGTTATGGCCCTTTTGACAAAAAGGGTTGGAGTGTGATAATCAGTAGCAGTATTGTCTGTAGAGACTGTGAAATAATGGACCTCAAGATCCTGAGTAGTTTAAAAAGGTGGGAATATAGACCATGTAATTTAGGAGACTAGACTTTGGCTTATTCAGGAAAATGCATAGGTGTGAGCTTGTAAGAGACAGCTCTGAGGTGAAGAGAAACTTGGGAAAGTTTGCAGGCCTTTAAGGACAGCTTTCTGCAAGCACAAGAGAGTCTATCCTGACACTTAGGAGAACTGATAGAGTTATGGGGGGCAAGTTTAGCTAAGCAAGGGATCCACAACTGAGCTCCAGTGTAAAAACAAAAACAAAAAAATAGAATAAGGGGAAAAAAAAGGAAAAAAGGCAGTACAGAGAGCATAGAAGCAAGGATAGCTTATGAAGTGGAATTTAGCAACTGTTGTGGTTTAACCTGCCAGGTATCTAAAACACCACACAGCCTCTCGCTCACCTCAAGTGTGTCACTCTGCAGTGAGATAGGGGAGAGTACTGGTGTACAAAATTAAAATTTGTGGGTTGAGATAGAGAGTAGGACAGAAACAGAAGGGAAAATAATGATGATAAAAGAATCAGAATATACAAAACAAATGATGCATAGAGCAGTTGTTCTTCCCCTGCTGACTGAAGCCCAGCCAGTTCCTGAGCAGTAGTCCCCAGCCAGCTTTTCCCCTAGTTTATATACTGTGGATAACATCATATAGTATAGAATATCTGTTTGGGATATCAGTGGGTTATCAACATTATTTTCATCCTAAATTCAAATCACAGCGCTATACCAGATAACAGGAAGAAAATTGTACCAGCTGAAATCAGGACAACAACTTTGCCTGAGAGTGTTGGAATGGTGTCAGTAAAGCCAAAACTCAGCCAGAGTTAATAGTTGCCAGGAATGTCAAGGGCAGCTTCTACTGCAACATTAATCATAAAAAATTGATCAAGGAGTACGTGGGCCGGGTGCTGAATGGGGCAGGTAACTTAGTGACAGCAGAGTCAGATTGCGCAGAGGTGTTCAGTGTCTCCTCTACCTTAGTCTTCACCATGACTTCACTGAGGGAAAATCCTGCCTGACCAATTTGGTGGCCTTCTATGATGGGGCTACCGAACTGATGGACATGGGTAAAGCAGTTGACGTCATCTGCCTGGACTTGTGCAAAGTGTTCGGCACTGTCACGCATGACATCCTTGTCTCTAAATTGGAGAGACATCAATTTCATGGATGGACCACTCGGTGGGTAAAGAACTGGCTGGATGGCCGCATGCAAAGAGTTGTGGTCAATGGCTCAATGTCCGGCTGGAGACCAGTAACGAGTGGTGTCCCTCAGGGATCAGTGTTGGGACCGGTCTTGTTCAACATCTGTGCCAGTGACATGGACAGTGGGATTGAGTGCGCCCTCAACAAGTTTGCTGATGACACCAAGTTTGCTGTGTGGTTCGGTTGATACCCTGGAGGGAAGGAATGCCATCCAGAGGGACCTGGACATGCTTGTGAGGTGGCTGATGCCAACCTTATGAAGTTTAACCATGACAAGTGCAAGGTCCTACACCTGGGTCGGAGCAATCCCAGGCACAGCTACAGGTTGGGCAGAGAAGAGATTCAGAGCAGCCCTGTGGAGAAGGATTTGGGGGTGTTGGTTGATGAGTAAATTAACATGAGCCGGCTTCAGTGTGCGCTCGCAGCCCAGAAAGCCAACCGTATCCTGGGCTGCATCAAAAGGAGCGTGACCAGCAGGTTGAAGGAGTTGCTCCTGCCCCTCTACTCTGCTCTTGTAAGACCTCACTTGGAGTATTGTGTGCAGTTCTGGTGTCCTCAACATCAAGAGGACATGGAACTGTTGGAGCAAGTCCAGAGGAGGGGCCATGAGGATGATCAGGGGACTGGAGCACCTCCCCTATGAAGACAGGCTGAGGAAGCACGGGCTGTTCAGCCTGGAGAAGAGAAGGCTGCATGGAGACCTCATAGCAGCCTTCCGGTATCTGAAGGGGGCCTATAGGGATGTTGGGGAGTGACTCTTCATTAGGGACTGTAGGGAACTAGATGATCCTTTCGCACCCTAACTGTTCTATGATTCTATGAAGGTTTCTCAGGCCTGTGGGTAGTGGTAGTTGGGAATAGTCAGCACTTTTTTACCTGGTCTGTTTAACATCTTTATGCCTTGGAGAAAATGGAGAACACACACCAAGTTTCATTTGACATTATTAGCAGGTACACAGCCAGGAGATCAAGGGAAAGTTTGCCCTCTGTTTAGCATTTATGAGTTTGCATTTGGATTACTGTGTCAGATTTTTGGTCCTCTAGTTCAAGAAAGAGATACTGATAAAGCTGGAAGGCCACTAGAAGGGACATGAAACTAGAGCACCTGCCCAGTGAGGAATCTGGGTTTACTTAGTCTAGAAAAGAGAAGGTTCTAAGGGACCTAGTAGCAGCCTGCCACTGTCTCTCTTCTCAGCAGACTCCTAGAGTAAGGCTGTTAGCAGCATTGAATGTGGGAGGTGAGAAACCACAGACATAAGTGGAAATCAGAGGTTCAGACTGAATATGAGCAGATTCCTTTTCCCCATGAGGACAGACAGTCCAGCACTGGAGCACGTTGTTCCATGAGGTTGTGCCACCTCTGTCCTTTTTCCACACCTCAGTGAACAAAGCCCTGAACAATCTGGTCTGACCTTAGAGTTGTCTGTGCTTTGGGCAGAAGCTTGGAGTAGAGACCTCCCAAGGTCCTTTACAGACTGACTTTGACTGGAAAGGAAAGGGTTAAAGTGCCTTGCTCTTGTGAGGGATCAAAGATGAGCTGTCCCTGTTCACCCCAGAGGCTCCATAGAGAGAAAAGGTCTCAGCAAATTGCTTAGTTGTTTAGAAGCTGCAGTTGGGATAACAAGCAGCATTTTGAATTAGACCAGTTTGAGCTCTTTGAATAACATTTTTTTACTGAAGTGTGTCTTTTAAAATAACATGTGGCAGCCTGTTCCACTGTATGAACATGGACAGTTTCACAGTTTCCTCAGCTTATGTGTATCCAGGATTTCTTCAGGAAATTGGAATTATTCACCCTATTTGCAAATGCTATTCCAGAAGCAGAGGGAGAGTATGTTATGGTTGGAGTAGTAGCAGACGTTTTGCCTTCTGCATTGTTCTGGCTTCAGCATTAAGACTTCTGGAACACTGATCCATGTTCCCTCCCACCTCAGAGGGAGTCTTCTGTTAGTCTCATTTGGTCCCTCCTGCAAGGCTGGATAAAGACAGCAGAAATGTGACGAGTAGAATTAGCATAACAGTTACGTAGCAAGTGAGGAGGAACGTGAAGTAGGTTATAGGTAGAAAAGGGTGTATGGGTTATCACACAGAAGAAAACTTGGTATTATCTGGCAGAGATTTAAGCATGGCCACCATAAACAGTGGTGATGGGGGGAAAGATTATCAGGTTTTTGGTGGCCATATGCTCTGTGACTATAAAAGCATCTCAGAGAGTTCAACATACTTGAAAAGGTTTGGTTATGCAATATTGGAGATCTTTCCACCTTTAATTTTATGTGTTCTTGTCATATTTTAATTGTAAAAGTTTTTTTTCTGTGAGAAATCTAAAGAGAAAATACATGCATTCTCTAAGTTTTGCTTGGGGGATGTTATTTACTGGGCTGGATCCCAGGTGATAGGTAGTGTAATAGTGGAGTGCTTTCAACATTTCCCAACAGCACTGGCTTGATGTAGGGTTTTACTTCCTCCTGTTTCCTCATGGTATCACTATGGGATAGTGATCACTAAGTTAGTAAGGTTGCATATTTGACTAGTTATGCTTGTCTGGACAGCAGTCTTGGTCATAGGATTTAGTTTTAGGGAGCACTGTGAGGAGAAGGGGATTGAACTAGATGATCCTTATGGGTCCCTTCTGACTTGAGTTTTTCTGTGATTCATCACACTTTTTTTTGCAACATGCATGTCCTAACAAATCTTGAAACTGCTTCTTCTCCATGTCTGGAACACAGGGAGGTTGAAAGGGTCATTAACATCTGGACAGTGCAGCCTAACAGCTCTGCAGGTGTGGCAAGATTGCCTCTGAGGGCACAGCAGTAGTGCCAAATAAAATGTGGCTGTGGCTCTCACTCTCTGGGTTGGTATGTGGGTATGGCTTGAGAGAGAGAGCATGCCAGAAACCATTCCCAATATGGGAAGGCAATACATAAGAGTGGGCTTTCCCAGACTGTGCATATTCCTTCACCACTAGCCTGGGAAGCTTTGCCACTTTAAGCATCTCCAGATATACACATATTTTGTGTCGTGACATCTTGAGCTTAAGAAGCATTCAAAAGATGCAAGTGTGTCTTACGGCCACAGGAACACCATGTAGGCTCCAGACCAGAAGAGAGACAAAGTCCTCTGTGTCATGGTTGCAACTGTGCCATGTCACTTGGCTGTGGGGTCAGAGGGCAGTCCCCGATCCTGTTTTCTTTAACATTATAACATGGCCTGAATGTAACCCTGCTGAGCAGGAAGGGGCCCCCCATAGCCCCTACCACAGTCCCTACAATTGGTCCATTTCTGTGCCAGAAAAGGCGTAATTTAAAAACTTGTTTTGTGGGCCATGTACAATGGTTCTGTTGGCCTGTGTCATGGTTTAAGCCCAGCCATAACTCCGAACCATGCAGCCGCTTTCTCATTCCCCACCCCTTCCTCCCCCCCACTCCTGGAGGGATGGGGGGAAGAATCGAAAGTGTAACTCCCATGGGTTGAGATAAGAACAGTCCAATAACTAAGGTATAACACAAATCACTACTGCTACCACCAATAATAATAATGATAAGGGAAATAATAATGGAAGAGAATACAACTGCTTGCCACCTGCTGACTGATACCCAGCCCGACTGAGCAGTGGTCTAACCTTTCTGTGTAACTGCCCCCAGTTTATACAGTGGACATGACATGCTGTGGTATGGAATATCTCTTAGGTTAGTTTGGGTCAGGTGTCCTGTCTCTGCTTCCTCCCAGCTTCCTCTCCTCCCTGCCAGAGCATGAGACTCACAAAGTCCTTGGTCAGAGTAAACATCATTGAGCAGCAACTAAAAACATTGGTGTTATTAGCGCTGTTCCCAGGCCAAAAGTCAAAAACACAGCACTGCACCAGCTACTAAGAAGGAGAAAAATGACTGCTACTGCTGAACCCAGGACAGCCTGGTATAAGGAATTCCTGCTATCTGTCGTAGCTCTGAGCTCAAGCATTTTATTGAATTCACTGCTGGGAATGGAAGGGAAGAGAGGGCAGCTGCTGTTTCATCCAACAGCTTGTGTGTCCTTTGTCAGCATAGTTTATTACTGGAGCAGCCTGGGAATAAAAGAACCCAAGGTGCTCTCCCTTTCCCCTTTGCCCCCACTGGAGCAGCGTAAAATGCAAGAGCACAAGTCTTTCTGAAGGAAGAAAAAAAACAGAGAGACCCATGCTGCAAGTTAAAATATCATCTGTAAACAATGATACTATATTAGATTTTTAATTGCTAGTATATGAGAGAGCAATGGAAGAACAAAACTGGCATAATATCAACTAGCTATACCTTTCATTCTGTTAAGGTAAATCTAGATGTTAATCAGAGAAGTAGAAATAGTATTGCATTTGATTTGAAATTATAGCTGAGGTTTCCTTTTGGTGCTTATTTATATCTTTTAAGGGCTTGCTTGAAGAAAACGTATAATTTAGCTAAGCTCAGAAAGGTGATCACTCCTCAATAACTAAAAAATAATAAATCTGTTTTAAAAGCTACGTGTTTTACTTGTTGGGGGGGGGGGGGGGAAGTGCTGTAGTCTTACCTTATTTATCCTGTTACTACCAAACTCTAGTATCTATTTATTGATCTTGTTGCAGTATGGTAAGGAACAAGCTCATGCATTTTTTCTGTCACTGTTCCTCTAAAGCTGTGTTATGTTGAATTACTGTTTCATTTTAGTGACTATAGTTGTTGGAGATCTCTGAAGAAGAGATTGGTCCTGCTGAATAACGATTGTTTTGAAATGGAGCCTGAGATTTCTTTGCCCTGGTTGATCCCATTAGAAGCTGAAATTATTCAGCACTTAAAGGGATCAAGCCCACATACATGGTTACATGCTTCTTTGCAAATTTTGCTTTTATGTTTAGACCTTTTGTTAGAGGTAGAGAGTATTTGCTCTCTAGCTTTGCTTTTCAAGCCTTATAATATGCCTAGCTGTCCTGTTTTGGTAGCATGCACTTGTTATGGCTTAATTACATCAATAAAAGAGTATATAACTTCCATCAATGATTCATAACTCACTATTATGTACTTGATTATTTTTAGACTTTCTTCAAGAGAATTATCCATCCTTTGATCTAAAGGAAACTGGATATGATTGGAAGGCATGTGTTGCTGCCATAAACAGTACAATCCGCAGTCTCAGACATGACCATAAAAAAGCCACAGTTGGAATCCGCCAGAAGGTCTTGACCATGCCACCACTGAGTGCAAAGAGTCCTCCACAGAGTCCTACTTCAGTGAAGCCATTTGAAAGTAACAATATCAATCTCATGGACTGAAGCTCTTTACTATGCGTCTCAAATCCTAGTTTAGTGGTTTTATAAACCCCACATAGAAGCCTGTTGCATCAAGTTGTCCTATTATACTGAGTTGTCAGCCACATGGAATAATATTATTTCATGAGACCAAAGTTAGCAGAAGACTTGGGAACTGTAACTTCTTTTAAAGTAGCATGTGTGCTCCTCACAAATTACTTCTACTGTTCCCTGCAGCATTTGCAATGTGCTCTCTCCTAAAAGCATTTTTTCTTCTCATGATTCATTGACTCTGAAACATTAATCTAATTAGAAGAGACGCACTGTGCATCAAGTCAGCAGAAGCAGATAGAAATGTGGAATGATTGGTCCTCCTCAGAGGTAGACTTAGTAAAATTATCTCATGTGTGAAGAATGAAATTTGCTTTGACAGTTGGATATTTTAAGACAAAATATCTAATGCAGGAAGGAAAAAAATAAATCCTGCATCCAGCTGACTTGTTATGTTGCTCACCTTTTTTGCCTCCTAGAGCAGTCTTTGTTGTAGAATAAGGAAAGAGGCAGGCAGAAAAGTAATTAGAGTTGGTAATATTTTCTTTGCTCTGATTTAGCTCTACAAAAGCACAGAGGAAGTATCCAGAACAAACAGTTTGATAGTTGGTTCTGGTTTTTCTTGATGAAAATTAAAGAAAATACTTCTTCAGGGCCTTGGTCTGCTGTTCAGTGGTATATGTCTCATCAACTTGTGTGGATGTCCACAAGATGCAAATTTGTTGCAACTTTCGTCTAGAGGATTTGGATCCTAATACCAATTTGTGAAATAATAATTTCCGTCGCCTTCAAGTTGGACCTTCAGTTACAACTGAGAACACATGCTGTACTGTTGGTATGTAGTCAGAGATGATCAGCATCAGTGGTATGCCTTCTCAAGCTCATAATCATAGTTTTTAATACTCAGGTCAACAAGGCTAAAAGTGTTTTGCTCTCTGGGCAGGCTGGTGTTCTAAAGACTTGTGACCCTGCCTTTGTTAACTTAAAATTTTGAAATTGTGCAGTGGTTATTTGCAGAGTCACAGAATGGTTGAGGTTGGAAGGGATATCTGGAGGCCATCAGATCCATTTTTCCTGCTCAGGCAGGACCACCTAGAGCCAGTTGTGTAGCACAGTGTCCAGACTGGTTTTTAGTATCTCCAAGGTTGAAAACTCCACAACCTTCTGGGGCAACTGCTGCAAGGGCTCAATCATTGTCACAGTGGAAAAAAAAGTGTTTCCTGATGTTCAGATGGAACCTCATGTGTTTTGGTTTGTATCTATTGCTTCTGGTCCTGCCACTGGGCACCACTGAGAAAAGCATGGCTCTGTCCTATTGGCTATATGTCCTTTCTGCAACCTCCCCTCAGGTATTTATATATATTGATGAGATCCCTCTTGAGCCATTTCTTCTCCAGACTGAGCAGTCCCAGCTCTCTCAGCCTTTCCTCACAGGAGAGATGCTCCAGTCTCTTCATCAGCTTTGTAGCCCTTTGGACTTTCTCCAGTATGTCTGTGCAGTCCTGTACTGGGGAGCCCAGAGCTGCACCCAGCACTCCATGTGTGGCCTCACAAGTGCTGAGAAGAGAAGAAGGGTCACCTCCTTGAGCCCTGCTGGCAACATTGTCCTAATGCAGCTCAGGGTACCCTTAGCCGCCTTCGCAGCAAGAGCATGTGCCTGGCTCATGTTCAACTTAATGTCCACTAGAACATCCCATGGTACACTCTGCCTCATCACTGAGGTTGTTAATGAAGATGTTAAACAGGATCAGATCCAGTATTGATCCCTGGGGTCCTTTGCTAGTACCTTAGATGGTACCTTACTGGCCTTCATCTGGACTTTGTGCTGCTGATTACTCTCTGGGCCCTGACTTTTTTACAGTTTCCAGTCCACCTCACTGTCTGCTCATCCAGCCTATACATCAACAGCTTGTGTGTGAGGATCTTATGGGAGACAGTGTTGACGGCTTTCCTCAAGTCCAAGAAGACAATAATCACGCCTCTTTTCTCATCTGCCAGTCATTTTATCGTAGAAGCTTATCAAGTTGGTCAGCTGTGACTTCCCCTTGTTGAAGACATGCAGTGACTACTCCTGGTAGTATTCTTGTCCTTCACCTGCCTGAAAATAGTTTCCAGGATTAGCTGTTCCATCACTTTCCCAGGAATGGAGGTATGGCTGACCGGCTTGTAGTTCCCCGAGTCCTCCTTGCCCTTCTTGAAGACAGCAGTGACATCTGCTTTCACCCTGTCTTTGGACACTTGTCCCATTAAACCTTGATCAATCAAAGATTAATCAAGAGTGGCTTTGCAGTGGCATCAGCCAGCTCCCTCAGCATTCATGGGCTCATTCCATCAGGATTCTTGGACTTAATACATGTCCAGTTTGTTTATGGATTGCCTGACCGAGTCATCTTGAACCCAGTGTATATTCATTGCTCTAGCCTTGCCCCCAGTCTCTGGATTCTTGAGGGCCAATCTCACTCATAAAAAGCGAGACAAAGGTGGCATTGAATTTCTCAACCTTTTCTGTGTACTTTGTCACCAGGTTCCCTGTGTCATTCAGCAGTGGGCACTTTTGTCACCTGTGTATTTACAGAAGCTCTTCTTGCTATCTTTGACATCCCTGGCCACTTTTAGTTCCAGTTGGGTTTAAGCTTTCCTAACTTCACGCCTGAATGCTCAGACAACGTCACTACGTTCCTCCTGGATTACTTGGTTTTTCTTCCACATTCTGTATGCTTGAGTTTGTCCAGAATCTCCTGGTTCAGCACAGGCCTCCTGGTATTTTTGCTGGACTTGTTGTTTATTTTGATGGCTCTCTCTGGAGCTTAGAGGAGGTGATCTGTAAATTTTGTTCAGGGCCCTAATCCCATAGGACTCTTCATAGCAGATCTTGGAGCAGACCAAAGTCCACTCTCCTGAAGTCCAGGATTGTGAGCCTGCTTTTTACTCTCCCCTCTCCCCTTAGGATCCTGAACTCCACCGTCTCATGGTCATTGAGGTAAGGCTGCTTTTCACGTTCTCAACTAGCCCCTTGTTGTAGGTGAGTATGAGGTCAGCAAAGCCCCTCTCCTTGTTCACTCCTCTGTCACTTAGAGGAAGAAGTTATTGTCAACAATAAATATGCCCTTCTTGGCCACACAACACTAGTATTTATTAGTGCACTGAATTGTGTATTAAAAGACCAAACGTTGAAAATTACTTGGATGCTGAACTCATGAAAATAAAAATAACTCTTACTCATTTTCACATCCCCCTCAGTTTCATTTGTAAGTTGAAATTGCACAGCAGTAACTGCCCAGAAGTTAATGGCTCTCTTTGTTGGGTGGGTTCTTTGTTGTTTGGGGTTTTTTGGTTGCGTGGATGTTTTGGTCAGTTGTTTCTTGTTTACAAAAGAGGAAGTATTTGGTATATGTCTTTTTGTTACTTGTTTTCCAGTATGGGTCACATAGTCTTCTTACTGTCTACGTATTGGCTAAGGTAAGCTTGCTTTGCCACTTGCGTTGCGTCCGAGTGTTGTCTCGGGTGTCCAGCTTTTTCACAGAAAGAAGCTTCTCAGAAGGCTGACGCAGGGATCCAATTTCAACTCTGCAAGCTGATGCAGTGGTGGCTTCCAAAATTACGCCTGTGTACATAGCAGAACAAGATTTAACTAAATCTGCCCTCTCCAAGGCAAAGGTTTCATGGTTTGTTCTTTTGTTAGCAATAGGATAAAATAGCAGAGTTACTTGTTCTCACTTTAACTTCTATTCATAGTGAACAGGCAGTGTTTATTATATACAGTACAGGATCAGCTTTTTCATTGCAAGTTAGGATATGCAATGGCCCTATCAGATATGAAATTAGTAACTTAAGCATCACCTACAACCTCCTTGCAGAAGTCTTCTGTAGGATTTAAGAAATAGGCTGAATTTCTGATTTTTAATTATTTTTTACTAGAAATGTTGTACTGCAAAATTTGGTTGTTCTGGTTTACTACTAACAAATTCTGCTGTTACTGTTCTAAACAGTCATTCTTGTAAATGCCAAGAACTTTGTTGTGTGTAGATACTACTAGTTCCAGACCTCAGAAGAAGCCAAAAATGCTATATTTTTTCAGCAGTATACTTTTTCACTGTCCTTCACAGATTTTAATGGTAGAATGATCTATTTATTGAATGACCTGTCTGGCACTGAAATCTGTTAGTGTGGTGCATACCTATGGCTTCCATATTGAAAAGAGAATTGAATAAAAGAAATAGTTTTCTTGTTTCTGTTTCAAATGTATTATTTTTTCCTAACTTTTGTAAAATAAAATTAGAATATTTTGCTGTTAGGAATAAAGTATTTTACAAATAAAACTAGCATATAGCTCCTTGACTACCTGTGTGTGAAGTATTTCTTGCACCATGAATCTACAGTTGAGGTATGGTTTCATCTGAAAAGAGTCTTTTGATCTTTCAAGAACCAGGGCTTTGAGGAGACCTTCTGATTTCCAAATCTATACTGCCTTAACTGATTCAGTAACCAAAACAAAATCCTTTTAGACTTCACTTGTTAGTTGCAGCTTTGTGTGAGCTATCCAAAACAGAGATTTCCACAAAACAGCAGGAGTTAAATAAAATTCTCAAGACACTCCTTTAAGCTGGTGCATTTTTAGTAGATGAGACCTTATTCAGGCACTGGAATCAATTTCTCTATTAGTCCTTGTTTGGCGGATACAACAGGGCCGGAAGGTAATCTCTCATGTGAAACACTGAGAAATCACCACCTGTCCTCCATCTTTGTAGTCCTAATAGCTGTCCCTAAAGTGTGTGTTTCTGGACTTGAGTTGATATTTCATGGTTCATCTGGTACTTGATGGCTCTCTGATCTAGTGCTGTTCATGTCTGGGGTCTGGTATGTGTTTCCTGTTAACGTGTAAAAGGTTTATCTTTCTTGATGCATCTTGATGTTGTAGCCTTGTGAATGGAGGTGCATACAGTATTGTATATGAGATAATAATTGCATATATAACTGATATGCAAAAAAAAAAAAATTATATATTGCACAAATATTAAAATACTTTTTAATTAATTTCTGTCTTAGGACTGCCCCTACACCTCATCAGAGAATTGGCAAAATTCTCTCCTGATCTCCAGCTCCCACTTGTGGATGTTGGATGGAATGCAAGACCCACTTGCAGTCCTGGGTCTTGATGTGTTAATGACCAGAACTTTGGTCTTATGAATAGATCTTCCAAGAACAACTGAATAATTCTGTTTCCAACATGGCACTTCCGTATTAGTTGGAAAAAATTTGCAGGGGAGTGCCTTTCCCTTCCCTCTATGGTGTGTAGAGGGTGGGGGCTTGGTTGGGGTTTTTCTTGTTTCTGAAGTTTAGATCTTTGAAGGAGTTATTGGGTGACTGATACATCTCTGTGTCAGTTCCTCTCCTGCTCTTGGGCAAATTAGGCATGCTGCTGGAAGCTCTTCCAGCACATTTCTTAGCGCTTGCTCCTACGTTGCTGGAGAATGTAAGTTGTTACATGAGCAAGCGAAGAGAGCAAACCTTCATTGGTCTCCCTGTGCCTGCTGGTCCCTTAAATGGTTTCTGTGGGTGTCATGGTTTTGGTCAGCATTGTTCTCAGACTAAAGTCGAAAACACTGTACAACACTAGCTACTTAGAAGGAGAAAAATAACTGTTACAGCTGAAC